AAACATTGATTATCTGAGGAAATAACGGCTCTGGCATTTAAAAAGTCAACTCCCCTCAGCTGCAGCTCGAGATGTGCTGTGTAATTGGGGGATTCTAATTGCAAATAAGAACCTTTTTCTCCTCAGGAGCCAGGTCTGAGTTTGTCTAAGGTAATGAAGCAGGGGCTGAAGATCAGCCCTGGAACAAATTGCATTAAGGGGAATCAGGCACTTGTCTGTTCGGATTTCCTCCCTCAGAAAAGCTTTGTGTCACCCGCGGCTCAGGGGCTCTGCTTGTCCACAGAGCTCCAGGAAGGGGGAAAAAACCCAGTGAAAAAAGCAAAATATGACAGGGAACCCCCATCCATTCACCTCCCCAAACCCACCGGCGCTTCCCCCAGCTCTGAAGTCCCTGTGGATAAATACCAGGGAGAGGTTGTTGCCATGGAACTCCAGCATTGAAATGGATGAGGCAGAGTGACCTTTGCCTCCGGAGATGATGTGCGAGCTATTTATATGCACAGCTGTACAAATTGCCAGAGTTTAATGTTAAATTCCACGGAAAATCGTCTTTGCTGCTCTGCTTTTGAGGAAAGGACGGGGTTTAAATATTTAATGGGCTCTCTGGCTGTGCAGGCACATTTGGTGTTACATAAGTGAGAGGCAGAGAGCTCATCCTGGCAAGGTCTGCTTTGATGAGAGTGAATTCCAGAGGATCCTGAGAATGCCTGGGAGGTGCAGCTGGAGCTTTGTGTCACCCGCTCCTGGGAGGACAGCCCTCAGCTCCATTCCCTCCAAATTCCCAGGGAATTTACCCAGAACTGCTGATGGAAATGAGGGTTTCAGTTTTAGGGAAAAGCCTCCAGAATTCCCAGTGCTCCCAGTAAGACAATCCTCAGCTCCATTGCTTCCGAATTCCCAGGGAATTTATGTTCCCCCCAGAACTGCTGATGGAAATGAGGGTTTCAGTTTTAGGGAAAAGCCTTCAGAATTCCCAGTGCAGGACCAGGACAAATCTCAGCTCCATTCCCTCTGAATTCCCAGGGAATTGACCATCCCCCAGAACTGGGGAGTGAAAAATGAGGGTTTCGGTTTTAGGGAAAAGCCTCCAGAATTCCCAGTGCAGAATCAGGACAATCCTCAGCTCCATTCCCTCGGAATTCCCAGGGAATTTATCATCCCCCAGAACTGAGGAGTGGAAATGAGGGTTTCACTTTTAGGGAAAAGCCTCCAGAATTCCCAGTGTGAGACCAGGACAATCCTCAGCTCCATTCCCTCTGAATTCCCAGGGAATTTATGTTCCCCCCAGAACTGGTAATGTAAATGAGGGTTTCCATCCAGAATTCCCAGTGCTCCCAGTAGGATAACTCTCAGCTCCATTCCCTCTGAATTTCCAGGGGACTTTACCCAGAACTGGCGATGGAAATCCCATCCCATCATTTTCACTTTTAGAGAAAAGCCTCCAGATGTCCCAGTGCTCCCAGTTCAAGGAGGAGCTGAAATTCTCACATCAATGACCCACGTCATCTTGCATCATCAAAACCCAATGACTTTGCTCACAAACCCAACTATTTCAGTGCCCAGGGCCACTACCCCCAATCCACTGGAGATTTGGGCTTTGAAGGGTTTTAAAATCTTCCTAAATAATGCAGCAAATGAACTGAAACCTGATGGTCCTGCAGAGCTCAGGGTGAAGTTGTTTAAACCCCCCAACATCACCCCAAAAGTTCCTTTTCTCCCTCAAAATCCTGTCAAAACCTTATTTAATCTCCACAATAAAATGACACTTAACCTGAAAAGCTGGTTATGGGGTTGTTAGGATGCAAGAAGTGAGCACCAATGTTCATTATTCTTTTGTTTTCATTTCTAAAAGCCCACTTTTCCTGCAGGACTTCTGCCTGTAAATGAAAACTCACTGGCAAAGTTCTGGCTAAAGGATTTGGGCAGCTGGAGTTAAAAACACAAAGACCTGGGCAAATTATGGATCTTTATGTGCTGTTGCAACCCTCTGTAAGATTTAAAAATATGCCAGAAATTGTCCATAATTCTTTGTGTGGGCCCTTGGAATTGGACATTAATTTACAGCAGCTGCAGACCTGGCCCGAGACAATATTTTTGAATAACGGGGGGAGGTTTTAATCCTTGAATCAACAGGAACCCCTCAAAAACTACATTATTTACTCCAGGATTAAAGGCTGGTGTAAATAAAGAATATTCAGACAACGGAGCACAGCAGAAAGAGGGAAATGCAATGCTTCCAGCTGCTGTTAATTTGCATTTCCAGGGGTGCTCCAGATGTGAGAGAAATAATGCAGAGCCACAGGCACTGAGCAGATTGTTCTGGAGCAGAGGGAAGACTCCTCTCCAGTGCTGAAGGGCAGGAAGTTATTGGAGAGGTTTAAACGTCACTCTTTCCTCAGGAAATGGGGATTTATATTGGATTTATCTTCCCCCAGTTGGGCACATGGATCTGCCTGGGGAGAGGAGATTTAGTGACCCAGCATGGCTGAATTTAATGGACTGGGGAAGGGACTCAGCATCAGTTATGGGAACCCAGCACATCCCTCTGGCTGCCCGGGCTGGCTCCAGACCCTGGCAGGGGCTCGCAGACCTCGGCACCAAGTCAAAAACACCTTTGGCTTCGATTTTAGCCTGTGGAAAAAAGTGCCAATTTTGTGTGAGGAATTACAAACCATAAGGGTTTGAGTAGTGTGGTAGTTGAGTTAACACAGGGTGAAAAAATAGAATTTTGGGGTTTTTAGAATGGGGTTCAAGGGGACAAGATGGAGGAATTTGGTCGTGTCCTGACCTTCTCCTTCTCCTTGCCCTCCATGCCTTGCTGTGCTGGTGACACTTTTCTGTTGGTTTAAGGACAAACAAACTGTCCAACATAAATGACAGATATTGGCACGTTATTGTAAACATGGCACACGCAGTTTTTGGTATAAAATGCAAACACTGCCCTGAGGGCAGACAGAATGCCATGGCCGAGCTGCTGGACAGAGCTCAGCAGGTCAGAGAAAGAATGTTCTGGATAAGGGAAAATAAACACCTTGAGAAGCCAACCCTGCGCACTCAGACTCCTCCTTTGGCTGTGGGGCTGGGAAATGAGGACTTTTACACTCCTGGGGTCACCTCGACACCCAGACCCCGAGATCAGGAACCTTTGGGATGCAATAAACACCAAGAGCTGGGCATTGCTTTGTTTAGAATCATTCTCTGCCTGCTGCACCTCAGGACGGGACAAACAGGAAATATTTGGAAGAACTGAGGGTTATGAGCAATAAACCCAAATTTCCAAAACCAGGGGCATGAATCCTGCTGGCTCTGAGCCCCAGATCCCCTCAATCCCCCCCAAACCTCCTGCAGGGCAGGAAGAATTTACTGTATTCTTTAATATTTTTTTCTATATTTTTGCAAATTTTTTGTATTTTTCTGTATTTTTTCTGTATATTTTCTGTACATTTTTTTCTGTATGTTTTCACTATATTTTCTGTAATTTTTTCTGTATATTTTCTGTAATTTTTTCTGTATGTTTTCAGTATATTTTCTGTAATTTTTTTCTGTATGTTTTCTGTATATTTTCTGTAATTTTTTTCTGTTTTTTTTTTCTTCTGTAGTTTTCTGTATTTTTGTAAAAAAATTTGCATTTGGACAGTTACAGGCACAGCCAGTCACTAAAGGAATTTTCCCAACTTTTTAAGCACATCAATTTGCCCTGAATGGCTGAGCAGTAAATCCTGGATTTCTGTGGGTGCCCACGAGGGTTTTTCAGTGGAGTGTTTGAGCTTTCACCTCATTTTAGCAATTTTGATCCCTCAAAAAACAGCACAAACCTTCATCCTGTGTCTTCAGAGGTTTGTGCCTCTGCTGTAAGCATTTAGTGCTGGCAGGAGTTGGGGAATTGGGGTGGAAAACACAAATCCTGGGCAGGAGCTCATTGTTATTCCTGTGTTTTTCTGCATTTACCAAGGGCCCTCATTTCCCTCTCAGTGATGCTGCTTTGAGCACATTGGATTTGACTCCTCACTTCCACCTGCCAGAGATCAAACCTTCAACAGCTCCCAAAAAAACCCTCAAGTGGTTCCCAAAAGCCAAACAAAACCAGCCCAGGAAATGGGAAACAACGTGAAAATGAGAGCTCCAGAGGTGGAAAATAACAACAGGGAAAAAAAAAAAAAACAACCAGGAAATGTGATTTCCACCCTTTTTCTGGCTGTGTTCCTTGTGGAAATGAGGGGGAATAAATGGAGTCCAGTTTGTTCCAGCAAATAAACCCCGAGGGGCTGCAGAGGGGAAATGCAGGCTCTGGGCAGCTCAATTTGCAGTAATTAACCCAAAACAAGAGGTTCATGGACATTTAATCTATGGGGGAAAAAAAAAATGTTCTGTCAGCATTGATCCCCTTTTCTGAGCGAAAGGAAAAGGAATAAAAATAAAACGGGTTTGATTAAATCAATGATTCCCTGGTGAGTTTCAAGCACCAAGAAATCAGGCGGTTCCCTCAGGCGAGGGGACATCCCTGGGGTTTTTCCGAAGGGAAAAATGCTCATTTGGGGAGAGCTGTGGGGTTTGTGCAGAGTTTGGGGTGGTCTTTGCCCAGGAAATGTGAGGTGCCAGGTGGGATATCCATCGTGGGGCTGGGAGGGGAGAGTTTCACTGAAGTAATGACTTTGTGGATCTTTATCCCAAAACCCCAAACCCAAGGAAGGTTCAATGGGGAGGATTTCATGCCGAGCTCTCCAGTTATTCCCATCCCTCTCTGGGATCCTGCAGCACCTCGGTCCTGCCCCCTCCGAGCCCAGGCAGAGGGAGCAAAAACCAATTCCTTCATGAAAATAATGAAAATTTATGAAAAATAATGAATTTTGACTGGCCATGAGACTCTGCCTCAGAAAAACCCCACAGAAACCCCACAGCACCAGCGTCCTTCATGAAATCCCCTGTGTTCCCTAACAAAGGCCAGTCCAGGTTCAACCCAGCCTATTTTTGGGGTTCTTTTCCCCTGTAGCTTCCATACATTGGGCAAAGCCAGAATTTATTTATTTAAATATGATTTAAATCCACTTTTTCCATCCGAGCTCCTCCTTTGATCCTTCCTGGCTCCGGCCCAGCTTGCAGCAGATGTTGCAATTTGCACCTGGTGGGTTGGTGTTGGAAAAGCCACATTTCTGCTTTTTCTCCGATAAACAGAAGGAAATCTGTCTTTAGCGCCTTTGATGAATTCCACGGACTTTTCCCACCTATTAACTCCTCCTGCTGGGTGCTACCATGAGCAGGAATCCAGCAGGGACGTGCAGGAGGTCACTGTCAGCCCCAAACTGCCAACCCCAAACTGAACAACCCAAACTGTCAGCCCCAAACTCACAATCCCAAACTCCTAACCCCAAACTGCCAGCCCCAAACTGCCAACCCCAAACTGAACATCCCAAACTGCTAACCTGAAAAGGCAAACCCCAAACTCACAATACCAAACTGCCAGCCCCAAATTGCCAACCCCAGACTTCCAATCCCAAACTGCCAACCCCAAAATGCCAATGACAAATAGTCAACCCCAAATTCCCAACCCCAAATTCCCAACCCCAAGCTACCTACCCCAAACTCACAACCCCAAACTCACAGTCCCAAACTGCCAACCCCAAATGGGTGAACCCAAAATGCCAGCCCCAAACTGCCAACCCGAAATTGCCGACCCCAGACTCGCAATACTAAACTGACCATCCCAAATGGGCAAACCCAGACTGGCAGCCCCAAACTCACAATCCCAAACTCCCAACCCCAAACTGCCAACCCCAAAATGCCAGCCCCAAACTGCCAACCCCAAACTGAACATCCCAAACTGCTAATCTGAAAAGGCAAACCCCGAACTGCCAACCCCAAACTCACAATACCAAACTGCCAACCCCAAATGGCAAACCCCAAACTGCCAATGACAAATGGCCAACCCCAACTGGGAAACCTCAAAATGCCAGTCCCAAACTCCCAACCCCAAATGGAAAACCCCAAATGGAAAGCCCCAAACTCACAATCCCAAACTCCCAACCCCAAACTGACCCCCCCAAATGGAGAACCCCAAACTGCCAACCCCAAACTGCCAACCCCAAATTGGCAACCCCAAAATGCCAGCCCCAAACTCACAACCCCAAACTGAACATCCCAAACTGCTAACCTGAAATGGAAAACCCCAAACCGCCAACCCCAAACTCACATTACCAAACTGACCACCCCAAACGGGCACACCCCAAACTTCCAACCCCAAACTTGCAATACCAAACTGCCAACCCCAAATTGGCAACCCCAAATTGCCAACTCCAAATGGCAAACCCCAAACTGGCAACCCCAAATTGCAAATCTCAAATGGAAAACCCCAAACTCCCAGTCCCAAACTTGCCACCCTAAGCTGCCAGCCCCAAACTGACCACCCCAAATGGCATACCCCAAACTACCAACCCCAAATGGCAAACCCCAAACTCACAACCCCAAATGGCAAACCCCAAACTCCCAACACCAAATGGCAAACCCCAAACTGCCAATGCCAAATGGCAAACTCCAAATTGCCAACCCCAAACTTCCAACCCCGAACTCCCAACCCCAAAGTGGCCTTAAGGAGCTGCTGCCATCAGCTGCACAAACGTCTCCTCTCAGACAATTCCCCACATTCCCAAAACTCTTCAGCACCAGAAGCTCCTTTCCTACCCCAAATTTCCTCAACAATGATGAAAACGTCTCCAGACAAAGCTCAGGGAGGCAGCAAGAACAGAAGGAATGTGAGCAGTTCAGTTGTAAGTTAGAAATGAAAACAGATTTGATCCGACTTGAAATTTCTGGAAAAGTCCAAAATGTGCATTTCCTTGTTTGTTCAGCCTGGGGTTTGTTGTTTGTTGGTTTTTTAAGTACAGAACTGCAGGGGGTGCAATCAGAGCCTGCATCGCTCACATCTGGCTCATTTCTTACCCCAACCAGCCCTGCCAGATGAAAATGTTCCTTCACCTCCGAGAGCAATGAGAAATTGAAGTGGCAGCAAAAGAAAGTGGAGCTGGGAAGTGCAAAGGAGTCCAGCAGGGAGGGAAAAAAAAGAAAGAAAAAATAAAAAACCAAGACAAGAATGCGGTGATCACGACCTGTTTTCATTCAGTGCTTTCCAATTAAAGTGATTTTTCTTAGAAGAAAACCTTATCTCTGGAACACATTCATTTCTTCTCAGCCTTCTGTGAAGGCAAATTGAAAACTCACAGGGTAAAATTTGACTTCATGGTAAAATTACAACCAATTTTTCCCTCACAACAATAACAACACAGCCGCTCGCCAGCTTTCAAATCAATTTTCCCTTCTCTTTTACTGAGATAAGTGGCAAAGTTTCCACAATTTGAGATGTTTTTTCCCCCCATAAAGATTTCTACTTAACCCTGACCATGATCACACAATTCCTGCTCCTCCTCCATGAAATCACTGCTAATTTTCAGTGCAGGGATGAACTCGGTGCTGCCTAAAAGCTCATTTAGCACAAAACCCTGCCAGGTGAATTTTCTCCTCGCTGGGAGCCAGCCCAGCCTCACCATCACCATTTCACAGCACAAAGAAATGAGTTAAAACCCCCCAAAAAACTGCATTTCCAGGGCTCTTTTTCCTTCTCCCAGCCGGGCACCTCCCCTTCCCGCTGCTCTCAGGCTGTTCCCAGGAAAAGGCTGTTTTCCCTGGAATTATTGTGAATTATTCTGCCAGAGCAGGCAGAACCAGCAGCGATTTTCAGATCAATTTACAGGACATCCCACTTACTTCATGTCGCTGTTCCACTCCGCTGCATTCATTACTTAAAACGTGTCCTTAAAATTGAGTTTTCATCTCCTGCTCCCCGTGGTTCTGGAGTGCAAAATCTCCTCCTCAGCCCTGGAGATGCTAATTTCCACCCCATTCCTCGCTCCCACAAAGAACTTTTCCAAGCTGAAGGACCTAAAGCCATTCTCCTTCGCAGAGGTGATTTATAAATTGTTTTGTTGGTTTTTTTTAGATGTTAAAAGGACCTTTAAACCCAGAGCATTTCTGGATTTCCCAGCCATGATTGCAGCCACATGGGGAAGTTGGATGAGTTAAACCCATTTTTTTTTTTTAATTCTGGTCTATTTTCTCCGATTTTAGCCCAGCTTTTCCAGCTCTTCCACAGCATTTGTGCTGCTCAGCCACTGGAGGGGTAAAATCCCAGCTGGTGACCTCTGAAAGGAGAGGAAATCTGGAAAAACAAAGCATTTTTCTACATGTACTTCCCAACAGTGAAAACATCTCTGCGGGAAAAGGAGTCACTCCCAATTTCTCTGTAAGGAGGGGAAATTAAAGCTTAATTTACACACACTGAAGCAGAAATAAATCTGCCTTTTCCCAGGCCAGGAGCTGTTAAAAATGGGAATAAACCCCTGAAGAGATGGAATTCTCCATCTCCTGACGCCTTTGGTGCAGATACTGGGAACTGACACCATGCCAGCTGTGAGGGCTCAGAAGGAGCAGCAAATACCCCAAAGTTCTACTGAGGAAAGCCAATGTTAAAGCATCCCATACACCATGACCAAGACTCCAAACTCAGTTTTTTTTCAGGCCATAGAACTGAGAGATACCTAAAGAAAAGGGGGAAATGAGAATATGGTTGGGTTTGTGTTGCCCTGATTTTTAAATGTGTTACATTTTCTTTTATAGTTCTTTTGAAAGTTTTAAAGTTCTTATAAAACTTCTTTAACTTTCTGATAATGTTTAGATATTTCTGCTGGAGTTCTCATGCACTGTCCATGTAAATAATGATTGTTTTGCATTCTTCTTTGTGGGAGGAGAGAATTGATGGGCTGTAGGGCTGACCAGTGTGGTTGGAGAGGTGGCAATTCCATCCTCCAATCCACTTTTGGAATTCTGTATATTGCGAGGTCAGAAATAAAATTGTCTCTTTTTCTCTTTTGAATTTACCAAACTTCTGTGTGCTCATTTTGTGTCCAATAGCGACAGGTTTGTGCTGCTGGTGAAACAGAGATTTTTGGAATTCACTTAAGTTCACAAAGTGAATTAAGCATTTATATTCTAGCTTGTAGAGTTATTTGTTGAATTTTAACCTTTTACTTAAGAAACCTCTGCCATGGTACAAAGGGCATAGGAAAATGCAAATTTCTGAAGCTTCTTGCACAAAGAACAATTCCAGAGGAGACCAAGGATGCAAAGAACCCATGTAAAGAAGCTTTCCTGTCCCCAAGCCTACCCAGACTGACAGACGCGCACAGATAAGCACCAAAGGACCAAAAGCGCACACACAGAGAGGAAAAGTTCAGAAGTTCAACCACAAGGAAGACCAAAATCTTCAGCCTCAAGAGACCACCAGAGACCTCCTCAGGACCACCATGGCAAACCACGCGTGCTGAGAAGGGCTTGGACCTATTTAGCATGAGAGGCGAGGCCAGGAGGGGCCAGGGGTTGGATATGCATGGCAAAGTTGTGTGATATATTGCAGATAAACACCTTTGGGAATAAAAGTGTGGGTCAGACCAAGGCTGGGGGCACAAGTTTTTGGAGAGCGATCTCACTTGTGCTGGGCGCTGACAATACACACCCAGTTCATAACTACCCCAGGTGTGGAGTTTAGTTATTTATTATATATAAATAACTAAATATTATAGTTATTATTTAGTTATTTATTCCGCGTATCGCTTCACTGGTGCAGTTCATACGGGGGTTTGGTGATAAAGAACGAGGAAAAAACCCTGCACAGCCCCAAAATTACAAAGATTTTGGCAAGTTTGGGAGACTTCAGAGCAACCTGAACGTGCCAAATCAACCCCAAAAATGCTCCTTGGAGCATCCTAGCCGCTGACCCCACAACTCATTGATCTCCTGGAAGTTCTTTACAGGGCACCAATGAGCCCCTGGTGTTTGCAGAGCTGAGCAGAAAATTCGTCTGCAAAGCTCCCAGAGCAAATATTGACCTGGCAGGGAGGGGCTGCAGGAGGGATTTATTTATCCATCCCCGAGCCTCCTCCTGCTGAGTTCCCAAGGATGGAGAAACATTTCCAGGGAGGCAGAGTGTGCAAAGGCAGCAGCTGGAAAATTCAGGTTCGTCTCTAATTGACTGTCAGACTGGGAGAACTTCCTGCTGACCCTGGGGCTGCTGCTCCACCTGGAGCCATCTGGGGTGGTTTTTTTTGGAATTTTTGGAAGCTGTGCCCTCCACGGGGAGCCAGAGCCATCTGGGGGTTTTTATTTTTGGGAATTTTTGGAAGCTGTGACCTCCACAGGGAGCCCGTGTCCAGTTGGATGCAGCTCTGGGCAGCCCAGGCCGGCTCAGATTTCTGATCGAATTTCCCCAGGGTGATTTCAGCTTGGAACTTGGATGTAACTCCACCTTCACACCCCCCTCCAGCACCTGGTGGTGTCAGAAAATATCCGTGGCAAGGCTCCATTTACTAAAAAAATGTGAACGCACCGAGATCCTTCTTTTTTTCAAACTTTTTCAACCTTTTTTCACCTTTTTTCAACCTTTTCCCTACCAAATTCCCTTTTTCCAACCTTTCACAGTGTTTAGGGTGGGTGCACTCAGCCTGTGTCACACTGGGAGCAATCTGCGTGTGAAGCATGCACACCTGAACGCTTTATTTAATTAATAAATAATTAAACCATCACATTCAATTTAATTATTTTATTTAATTAATAGGTATTTAAATAAAAATAATAATTCTAAAATTAAGTATTTAATTAAATATTTTTAAAAATAACTAAATATTTGATTAGGAATTAACCTGCACATTTATTTAATCATTTTCAATCAAATAGCTCCTTTATTTCTTTGTTTTATTTTGTTCTTTATTTTTTTTCCGTGCTGTATTTCCCTTTCACGCGCAGCACGTGGCTCTCAAAGCCCCAGCAACATTCCGCTGGCTGTCAGGATGATTAACAAGAGGAATTTGAATAGAAAACAGGAGGTAGTTAAGACCTGCTCTTGGAATATGATTTACGGAGGTGTTTTATGACAGAGCCACGCATTTGAGGCACACGCTCAGAAATCCGAGAGGAGGGCGGAGCAGGTTGGGGTTTGCTTCAAGATTCTTTTGTTTTGCAGAGTTGGTTAAAAGTCAGTGAGAAATGATGAGGAAAACTGTATCTCTTCAAGATGAGGGACACCAGGGGAGACCCAAATCCCAGATATTCCACATCAGCCCGTTCCTGGTGGAGCGGCAAATCATGGAGGGGTAACACAGAAATAATTCACAGCATTCAGGGGTAATACTGCAAATAATTCACAGCATTGAGTATGAATGAAAGACAGCAAATAATTCACAGCATGGAGGGGTAAAACAGAGATAATTCACGGTGTTGAGGGGTAAGACAGAAAGAATTTCCAGCATGGAAGGGTAAAACAGAGATAATTCACAGGGGACACCACAAAGCAGCACCTGCAGTCCCCAGCCAGCCTCCAGCTCCAGACCACCCAAAAAGCACCTGTGGCACACTGCCTTCCCTCCTGTGCTGCGAAATGTGCTTTTACCCACGTGGCCTTGGCTTCCAGAGCCAGAGATTCCTGCAGGGATGCTGAGGGCGCTGGGGCAGCCAAGCTGCCAGGTGTGCATGGGAGAAGGATGGAAAAGGAACAAGTGTCTGACCCTTCGCGTGGCTGCAATGGCCCTTCCCGCTCCGAGGAGAAGCAGCAGCCCAAAGCCAGGACAAAAGCAGGGCTGAGGGGTGGGCAGAACAAAGCAGAGCAATCTCTCTTTGGTCAGTAAACAAACCTGCAGAGAATGGGTTTGCTGTCTGTTGACAACGTTCTGGCAGTTCATTAATCCCAGCAAAATCTCTCCAAAGCCACTGATGCATGGATTCCATTTTCAAATTTCTCATTAGTTCCTCTTTATGGATTAAATGCTGATGTTCACGAGTGAATGCACACAGCTTCAGCTGATGGATGTAATTGGGTTGTAATGGATTTTAGCTGCTGTTCCTCCTGATCTGGCCAATTTGAAATGCAGTATCAATGTATTCTGCCCATCTCTCTGTAGGGAATGAGAAATTGAAACCTACAAGATGAGATTTATCAACTTCCATAAAGTTCTCTCCAACCATCATAAAACTGTTAAACTCCTCATTATCATTCCAGCACAGCGATTTCCCCAACTCTGCTCGGGCAGTCAAAATATTAAAGTGCATT